TGTTCTCTATGGAGCTCTGCTTTTTTAATATCTCTATGTTATGCTAAACATCTTCTGTTTCTAATTTGCATAGTTCTTGGTCTGTTCTGGACTTTTTCTTTCTTTCTTTTTTTTTTTTACTATCATTCAAGTTTCTGCACCCTATGTTAGTACTCGCAGCATACAATAGTTGACCACTTTCTGCTTTAGGGACATTTGTAAATTGCCTTTTATGATTTGGGAATGTCTGCCATTGAAGCTTTAGCCCATTCATGTTGTTTGGTGAATTTCCTTTTCTTGAGTAGTGTGCCCGGTGAATATCTGACTTAAATACATATAAATTGTAAGGATTCTAGTGTGCCGTTGCGAACTCTCGCTCTCTTGTTTAGCCTCCTAACATTAGATTCTTGTTTTTCACTTATTTATCTGTAGCCCTACTTGAACACTTTCTCGGTTTACACCCTCAGTTCATTGTAGTTCAACGGCACCACTGCTGAAAAGCAAAATGTCATTTGCAAAGCGTAAGTACCAAGATATTCTTTGTAAATGTTTATTTGTGTTTTTTATCAACATGGTGGCTCAAATATTTCTGCTGAGCATGCTGTAAATATTGCTCAGATTTCATCTCCTTGCCAGATCCACTTCACGAATAAAATTTTTTTGCTCTGCGACAGCTCCTCCCCCATAAAGGGACTTTTCTAGTCGCCCCTCAAGACCTTAATAAATTTCATTGTCTGCCTGTCTGCTGTGGACTCTCTGTAGATGTTGGCTAGGGTATTCATGCATGCATTATGCACTAGCTACTCTAAGACTGCTGGTATCTCTACCGAGTCGAATGCCTTTTATGTATCTTTTATGTATTCTGGATGTAATCTGTTTGGCAAATTTTTCAGTTTGACAGCACATGACTATGATCCACAGTGGGACATCTGTTGATCTGTGTATAATTCTTCAAATCTTTCATCTCTTTTCTTCTGTATTTGTTTGGTATTGGCATTTTTACAGTTAGGTTGTACATTAGATTCGCCAGTACGTGAGGCATTGTGCAGAAAGTGTCACAAGCTTTTAAACACGAGATCTCCATCTTCGATTGGGTCAACAATTTCGCAGCATGATTTTTCGTTGGTCATGTTTTGTAGGGCTCTATTCCATTCTCTCAGGATAGAGTATCCAAGCAGATTCGTTCCTAGTTAGGCTTCTGATTTTATGTTTCTTTCTTACTTTGTTTGTATTCACTCATGGAGTTTAAGTTTTTTGTTGAACTTTGGCTTCTTTCTCTGTTAGGTGGCTTATTCATGATCTGTAGTAAAGGTTTTCTGCCACCTTACTATAGATGTTGAGACTGCTGATTACGTTACTCGATCTGTTGGAGTGCCCATTCGCAATTACTTTCCTGTTGTCATGCTTTGTCCTTTCTTTGAATTCTTCATCTAATTCTTTGGTGCTATAAATCCCCATGTCGGCAATTTTCTTTTTGTTAATCAGCCCTTTTAGCTGAGTTAATTCAACTTTAGATCTTGAGTGGGTAGCCTTTGTAGATTGTTTTTTTTTTATTTTTTTGTGATTTGTGAGAGTATGCTTACTTCTTACCCTAGTGCTTTAACCTAACTGCAGTTGCGTTTTAAGAATCAATGTAGTTATGGTTTTGTTCATTTCATCAAAGCCATTTTTTTTTCTTGTTCTAAGGCCTCGCATACGAGTGTTCTAGGGCAGTGCTGAGAATGCGTGTGACTGTGGCTCTGCTCCACTTTTAGAGGAGCCTTGCAATTTCTCTGCAAGTTATAATAATAATATTATTAATAATAACAATAAAGATGGCATCTTTGGGTGCCTTGAAGTTCCGCATTCAATTTTCGCGGGCTGACTGGTGATGATGACTTTGGTATTCAAGCATGTGAAGAGATTGTTTTCGTCAAACATTTAAAATGACAGATTAAAAACGAAAACGTATTAAGCACAAATCGCCGGTCATCGCTGCTGTGTCTGAGGTGGTAGCTGCGTCGATGTTCGCTTGCAACAACTTAGGCTTACGTTTGGCTCGTTGGCACTGCGTCTGTTTTTCGTGAGGAAAAGGGGTGCGACTGTTCTCACAACAAATCCGTGCAGGGCGGGGCCTCGCCGCGATGACGTAGCCACCATTTCCTTTTTTTTTTCTCTCTCTCTCCCTCTCTCTCTGTTTGGCAGCGCGTTCGCTCAACACCACCTAGACTTGGTTCGCTGTGTGCTGTTCTGTGGCTGTGATTCGCTCGGAGGATTTCAAGCTGGACGGTTGTGCCCTCGCGATCTCCGACTTCAGCGTAGCTCCCGCCGACTGGTTCGCCCTCCGCGGTCTCCTGATGCCGTGCAGCTCTCGCATTGTGGCACCCCGCCCTTGGACTGCTTCGACCGGATCTCCACTTTCCTATCTCCTTCTTTTTTCCTCTCGTTGGCTGGCGGCTTCTTATCCATCTATTTTCCTTCTATTCTTTTTATCCCTCCTTCCTTCTCTCTATATCTTTTATTCCCCATATCCCATTCCTCTGCTGACCTGTTGAGGTGTCCTCGTAAGGAGAGACAGTTACGGGTCGGCACCTTTCTTTTCTTTTCTTCTGATATAACCACAATCTCTCTGTGGCTGTATGCTGTGCGCGGCGTCTCCCTGTTCTGTGGCGGCGTGCGCTGTCTTGTCATATTAGCTGTTGAGAGGTCCTTGGCTGTTGTCAACGGGAGGTAGGTATGTTGTGCGGACATCAAGAGACCTAAATGTAAGAATCTCTCGATTTCTTCTTATTGTTTTGCTCTGCGCGTAGATTTAGCATTGAAACACGTAGATGAAGGGACTCAACACGGCAGGACAGGCTTGTTTGCAGTTGCGGTTAGTGCAACACTAGACAATTGATTGGTTTTCGCATTTTTGAAGCTCGGGTTATCATTGTTCTGGTTGCCGGTTCAGTTTCCCTGGCACCGATTCATTTCGGTTTGAGTGGAGTACCGGGTCCGGGACATGACCCGATCTTCAGAAATTTCAAGAAACGTTATTGGAAGTGAACTGTTTTAGTTTCGGGCTCCAGTCATGATTAGAACAGCGCATGCAAGCTAATCATGACTTAAAAAAAAATTAAAGGTCTGCCATAGGGTCACATACCTTATCTATTCTGCTCCTGTGCTCTCTAGATAATTGCCTTGAATTCAAGGCAGAGCTGCGCTTGGGCGTTTATTTTGTTTCCATTTGTGCGTTTCAGAATTAACATTTATGTTATTTTCAACACCGAAAAAGCAATCGTGCGCAACACGAGACACGAATTGTGGTTGGATTATTCGTGACACATCCGTATGTGCCATCCCTGGTCCTGATAAAAGTGTGAATTACACGTTAGAGCGAGGCAGGCCCGATGTTGAACTCATATGAGAAGCTGAAGCGTCGGCGTCGAGCTTTTTTGTAGTGTTGTATTAAAAACCCAAGGCCCAACCAAACTGTAACGTGTTGGTGCTGCTTGTAAGCTGTAACTTAAATGCCATACAAAAAAAGTCTGGGTAATTAATAATAATAATGATAATTATATTTATTATTCTGGTTGACAAAAGCCAGCCAGAGTTTCTTGCCAGAGGCAGGGCATCTTAAAGTTTTTTTGCTGCCATTACACAAAAACTAAAACGAGATTTGATATTGCCCTCTGCCATGCATAAAACTAGGTGCCTTCATTAAATCCTCTTTATTGTTTATTTTCAGCCAATGCGTCTTCTCCGTGATCCACTGCGCATCTTGAATCCCTCTGGACAATGTGCCGTTTCCAGTTGTCAAGGGAACCGTCAAAGTATGCATATCTGGAGTGGAATACTAGCAGAAGACACAGGAGAAAAAGAAGACCAAATATGTTACATCGTGATGCACTTGCAAAGGTTTCAATCTCATTCAGATATGCAGTAGCCTTCCTGTTCAAAGATTTTGTGCAGGCAGTGTAAGGTGCATACTTTGCGGCAGCTGTATTCAACGTATTTTCCCTTATACATATGCCCCCTTTTGAGGCTCTTAGGGTATTTCTAGCCAATGAATACATTTAGGAAAAGCCTAAGAGCATTATGACTGTGAACGAGACACATAGCCGGGGGTTGCTGCACACCGAAATGTTCAGTTTTGCTGGGACCTCTTCTACCTCCTCTCCCACCTTTGACGTTTTGCCATGCCTTCCCCTCATCAGTAGTTGCGAGCGAAAGAAAATCATGGCTACATCTCTGGTGTGAACTATAAAAACATGGGCTTGTTTTTTTTTGGCACTTATCAAAGCCGACCTGTGTGTCTGTTAACATGCAAAAACACCAGAAATAAATATTCTTTATTTCATTTAGAGCATGCAAGTACCGCTGATTGGCCGAAGGAGTGTACGGAAAAAGTGAACAAACCTTCAAGGTACAATGAAGAGGGTTCATGAGGCTTCTCTCCTTTGCATTGAAAGGCTATGTAGTATGCACCATACATTGGGTGCATGTTTTGGATACATGACGGGTAAAAACTAGGCAGCTCTACGTTGACTATTTCTAGTTTCACGATACTAAATGTAAATGTTAAGGACTTTAGTTCAAAAATACTAGCTGATAAATGCTAAGTTGAGACGATCACCTTCCGGTAATATTTTCTTGTGCATTCGTGTTCCTTATGCAACCCCTTTTTATATCCCCATTCCCATATGGTGCCATTTAAAAAGTTTTCAGATTGAATAATTAAGCAGCTCGCCCAAGTCAGTAGTATCAATATGGACCAGATTTCGGGGAAACCCCCAAGGTGGAGTAAGATTCTGCAAAGGAAAGTTTGACATCCACATTTAGGTGGATGTCAAACTTTCCTTTGCAGTATCAATATGTATACCTAAAGCGTTTCACTGAGGGGGTAGTTCCCATAGTTGCCCTAAACAAAAAAGGCCAGTTTGTTTGCCCAGCCTCTACATCAACCGGTCACAGCTGTTGCAGCAGTCTTGATGAAATTGCTTTGCTGTGTAGGTAACCATACTTCACATTTTCACAGTAAACTTTTTGTGCACATTACGCATTCTCTCACATTTGGTTTATTTACAGTCTATGGATATTACAAGCACGCTATGAATACATCTTGAAATGACCACCCGAAAAAATGTACTAACATGCTTTCACATACAACAGGTGCTATGTTAAAATGTCAAAAGGAAAGTATAAAAGTAAGCACGTCCGTAGCAAGTACAGAAAAAATGCAACTTTACAAACAGCTTTATACACATAGATTGAAAGCAGAAGCCTAAAAACATACTTTCACACACTCTTTGAATTGAGAGTATCACCAACACAAAAAATTACGGCTGGATTTATACACATACACAGTCGTTGCCAATGTCACAATTGCATGACTATAATGAAGTCTAGTATAAAACATACCCTATTAATCTTAAAAGCTCTAAACATTCTAAAAATTATTTACAAAGATGTCCGAACACTGTGTTTAGGCCAAAGTTATGAATGGTAAAATAAATTGAGTTTTGCAACAATTGCAATTTTTTTAAAAAGAATGAAAAAAAAAATCACCGAGTGGTCCATCTCTACCGTCTCCCCCGATCCTTTCCTAGCAGTCAAAGCTTCAGTCAATGGCAGAGTGACAGCACACTATAGGCGTCTTCTTTTCAGAAGAGGCTTCAGAGATGAGCATCCTTTTGTCGGCGAGCCCCGAATGTGAAGGCCAGAACTCTGTGGCACAGATTCAGCCAGCTTACGGAAGGTGGCTTGCAATAATCCCCTAGCCTCCACCAGTGTTTGAACGTCATGGCAGCAGTAAAGGAGGGAACTGCACTTTTCCAATTCCTCGTTTATACTTTTTTGTAGCTCCGACACTGAGGGGGCTGCTGTCCCAGGAAGCATAGCAACCCCAGGCTGTAAAGGCACTTCACAAAAGCTGGTCTCATTGACAAAGGGAATGTCTGACTCTGATGCTGCTGTACCAAGATCCTGTGAAGACACTTCAGAAGGGCTGGGCTGATTGACAAGGGGAATCTCGGAACTTGTTTCGGATTCTGGACAGCTTTCAAGAGTAATTTGCGGTCGATTGAGGTAACTCTGCGGAAGAGAGGAAAAGCCCCACCTGTCGCTGTACTTAAAAACAACACAAAAGTGCTTGCATGGGTACTTGTACTTCCTGAAATCAGGGCAGGTACACGATGGCTTGGTGAAGTCGACAGTGTACAAATCATCATCACTTCTTTCAGAATGAACCGTAAACACACCTTCAATGGGGAGCTCTTCCATGTCTGTGGGGGTGTATTCCTCTGTGTTAACAAGCCGTCTCAGCATATGCTTAACGAACCCATGAGGCCGGTTGTGCAGGTATGCAGGAGCATTTTCACTGTACTGTCTGTACACTGATGACTGCCTCCGTGCCGGCTCATGGAATTTCGCTTCTTTGTCGGGAAGGTAGCCATGAACGACAGTCATGATCAGGGATGTTAACGACCGTTTCCCGCTGGAAGTTTTCACGTACTCTGCCTTCAACACGCGGTTGTGGGCCTCAATGCCGTTATTTGTGGTCAACACAACGTCAAACTCCAGCCTGTAAGACATGACCCACAGCTCCTTTACTGACAGCCACACTTCTTCAAGGTAACTGCGGAATCTTTCATTTTTCCAATACTCAGAGTCAACAAGGACTTCAACCGTCTTGTCAAAGTTATGCTGATTTGAAGCACTGGCTACGTGTTTCATGAGTCTCAGGGCTTCATCTAGATCGGATATGTTGTTTTCCTTTCTGCGCAGCCACCTCTGCCATGCCTGTAGTCTATGGAAGTCACAGATGGAGATTTGACTCTCTGGAAACACTTGCTTGATGGCACTTATTTCTGCCTTGCTATAATCCACCATCTAGTATTGTGGGGACCAGTTGTCACACCACTGCTTGAAAACGTCTAAAGCCTCAGCGATACAGTGGGTCGTCTCGAACTGTATGATAAACACACCAGCTGGTGTGTATCCCGACGGTGTTTTCACGACAAGCAAGAAAAGTGGTAGAGCATAGTCACTCGTCTTGTGCGTTGCGTCCAGGCAAACTACTGAGCCTCCGTACTTTTTAAGCATGCTCCTCATGAATTTTGTTTGGAAGCAAAACAGCAACGTGTCTTCACACTCGCTGGCAACGCCCTCTTCCACGTTGTCCGAGTCGCTGCTACCTACGAAGCTTCGTGCTGCATACGGCCGATAGACAACGGAGGATTCGTGTTGCTCACCCCTGATCTTTTCAATTAAAATTCTAGCATTCTCTTGATCAACTGTGCTGAAGCGGTCTTTCTTAAGCACAGCTTGGATCTGGTTGCTGATGTCACGATGTGTTGGGAAAAAGGCCCTGCAGCTGCTATCAGGCTTCTCCTTGTTCGCAAAAAGTACATCGTGCACATAATAGTGAAGGCACTTTTTCACATCTGATACAGAAGTAATGCCTTCTCTTGCCAACATCTGAATACACTCAGCAACGCTCTTGTCCATGTTTTGGCTGAAAGCTTCCATGTCCTCGAAACCATGGTTTTGATGGGAACTGCAGTCGGCAATCCTAACATATACCCGCGTCTCTTTGCCCACAGTCTGCTGCTCTGCGTCAAGTGCCTCCTGCAGCTCCTTGGCCTTGTCGGCTTTCAGACGACCCTCTCTTGTCTGGCCGCATGGCTGGGGCACATCCACCTAGAAAACAGGCACTGTTAAGTACACAGATCATATTTTATGGTTTCAAACAGTGCGACAAGATGAGGGCGAAGTCAAGATGAGACATAAGACAGCGCTGAACTAATAGCTGGAAGTATATTTCCACTATTGCCAGTATGTATACATGTGGGAAATAGCAAAATAAGAGCGCGAAGCACAAAACACATACAGTCTTGGCTTAGATGCCGAGACTGTATGCGTTGTGCTCGTTTTATCTTTCACACTCTGTTTATCTTGCTATTTCCCACGTGTATACATACTGGCAATGGTGGAAATATAGAGTGCTGTCTTCTGTCTCATCTTGACTTTGCCCTCATCTTGTTGCGCTGCTTGAAACCATAATAATCTTCAACCAACTGTGTTGTGTCGGATTGCACAATCATAAATGACACGATAAAGGTCCCCAGAAGTTAATCTGGAATAATTTTTTACTTGTCATTGTACATTTCATACCTGGAAATCTGGGTACAACTCAATCCACTTCAAATTTATTGTTGCTGCGCACCCCTTCTTCTTTGTGCCCTGGAGGTTCACCCGCTTCTTCTCGTACACCTCCTTCTGCCAGTCAGTGGTACTTGAACTCTGTAAATGAAGTTAACATTTATTTCTCCTGTAAACTTGTAGTAACTTAAAGTAAATCTTCTTTACACTGCCTACACACAATCTTTGAACTGGAAGACTGCTGGATATGTGCATGAGATTGAAACTTTTGGAAGTACATCACCATGCAACATACCTGTTCTTTTTTTTTTTTTCTCCTGAGTTTTCTTGTAGTACTCCGTTCCAAATATGCACACTTTGACGGTTTCCTTCACAACTCGGAACGGCACATTGTCCAGAGAGATTCGAGATCCGCAGTGGATCATGGAGAAGACGACATTGGCTGAAAATAAACAATAAAGATGATTTAATGAAGGCACCTAGTTTTATGCATGGCAGAGGGCAATATCAAATCTTGTTTTAGTTTTTGTGTAATGGCAGCAAAAAAACTTTAAGATGCGCTGCCTCTGGCAAGAAATTCTGGCTTTTGTCAACCAGAATAATAAATATAATAATTATTATTATTAATAATTGCCCAGACTTTTTATGAATTTTTTAAGTTACAACTTACAAGCAGCACCAACACGTTACAGTTTGGTTGGGCCTTGGGATTTTAATATAATTGGGCAAAAAAATCTCAAGCATTTCCCCGAGGGTGAACATGGTTAAGTGCGAATGCACGGGGTGATGCTATGAGGGGTATTTTTTAATTCGCACTATTATATTTATTAATCACACTATGGTGCCTTTATGGTGTAATGGTTCCTGGGAATCGCAATTTGATCACACGGGGGAGTTTACGTTAACTCACTGGCGAATGCCAACGGATTTTAACTTTACTCCCCCTCATAGCATCACCCCGTGCATTCGCACTTAACCATGTTCACCCTCGGGAAAATGCTTGGGAGTTTTATTACTGATGATGATGATTATACTGTAATTAATGAATTTAAGTGTTGTTTGTGATGAAGCATTTGTACACAGATAAATTATATACGAAGTATTATTTATTTACACTTCACGACGCGTCCGGACGAGCAAAGTCCAGGGCTCGCACCCTCTCCCGCGCGGCACGTTCACTGGCTGGAACGGCTTCGGGAACGTCCACTCGCCGTTGACGATTGCGAGCGGCGCCTTGACGCCGGCCTTCATCGCCCTTCTCCGCCTGACGCTTGCGTTGTCGTTCCGCTTCTTGGGCCGCGTTCGCGGCTCGATGCTGACGCCTCATCTCGGCCTCGCGAGCGCGCAGTTCACCATCCGCTGCACGCTTCGCCCACTTGTCCTCGGCCTCGCGAGCGCGAAGTTCAGCATCCTCTGCACGCTTCGCCCGCTTGTCCTCGGCCTCGCGAGCGTGCAGTTCGGCATCCGCTGCACGCTTCGCCCGCTTGCACTCGGCCTCGCGAGCACGCAGTTCGGCATCCGCTGCACGCTTCGCCCGCTTACGTTCGGTCTCACGATCCCTTCGCAGCGCCGCCTTGTCTTCCAACGTCGGCGAAACCACAGCAGTACCGTCACCTCCAACGACGGGTGCAGTGCTGGCATTCGGTTGTACTGCATTCGTTGTTGATGGTAGCGTTGCCTCCGGGACATCCATCGCACGACCCGCTCTCGACGGGAAACTGAGAGAGAAGGCGGGCACGCGAGAGAGAGGGGTGCGCGCGCAGCTGCAGCGAGCGAGGAGAGCGGAGGAGCGAGCGAAGGGGGAGGGGGACGCGCGCAGCGGCATTAAAGGTATAAGGCGCGTTACTGACACCGATATCAGCGTCGCGTCCGTGGCTTATTCGGTAGAGCGTCGCGCTGCGGCCCGCCAAGTCCTCTTTCTTTTACAGATAGAGAGAAGACTGCGGACGCCGCCGACGGCGGTGGATAGTTTGGGGTCGCTTATAAAGTGTATTCACACTTAAAAATCTCGACCCTGTCCTTTCAGCTTCTCATATACAGCGTTCAACATCAGGCCCGCCTTGCTCTAGACGTCTAATTCACACTTCCTGGAGGACCACGGATGGCACGCACGACCGTGTCACAATTAGCTTGCTAGCGCGGTGCTAATCATGACTAAAACCGAAAAAATACAGTTCAGTTACAACTGAATTATTTGGGGCGCTAAGCAACGGGGACCAAAGAAACACGCAGACACAGACAAGGCGCCAATTACAGCTCCAATAACGTTTATAGAATCTCTGAACATCGGGTCATGTCCCGGTAATCCGAACAATACTTCACTCACACCGAAAAATCGGTTCCAGGGGAACTGTGAACCGGTAATGAAAACAATGATACCTAACCCTAACTTCAAAAAGGCGAAAACCAATAACCGCAACTGAGAAGAAGCCTGTCCTGCCCTGTCCCTAGCTGGTTTAAATTACTACTGCGTGTTTCAATGCTAGATCTACGCGCAGATCAATACATTAAGAAGCAATCGAGACATCCTCACATTTAGACGACTTGCTCAGGTCTCTTGATGTCCGCAAAGCATACCTCTCGTTGACGGCAGCCAGGGACCTCTCAAAAAGCTTTAGCTCTTCGTCTGACTTCAGGTAGCCATGAGAGTAGCCGCCGTCATGACGTAATCCTTGGAGGTACTTTTCGATTACTTTCTGTCGGTCAGGAGGCTCGCTCATCGTTGCGTTCCGATTTTCCGGCCACTTAACAAAACAGTGCACGCTTCCCGCACACGTGGAATGCACGCCACCACAGCGACCGCATCGACCGCGTACCGCGCCGTCAAACGGAGAGAGAGAGAGAGAGACAGAGAAAAAAAAAATGGTGGCTACGTCATCGCGGCGAGGCCCCGCCTTGCACGGATTTGTTGTGAGAACAGTCGCACCCGAGGAAAAGTGTCAAGGCGGCTTCCGGGTTTGTCGTTGAACCAGCGCGAAGTTCCAGCTGCGTATTTATTTGCGGCAAGCAGTCTTCCTTGCGATAAATCTACTCTTCAGTGACGACAGTGATGAACACAAATGTTCACAGGTTCATAGTGCAGCTCGTGTCAAGGACGGGTTAGCTCTTTTGCACCATTAATTTCGAAGCAGTGGTGGGAATACCACAGAACACCTACCAGTTTGGTAATACCGCTCTGTGTTAATGTACCACAATTCGAAAACGTTCTCGCTGCGCAAGTTGCTCAGTTTGTACAGCAGCCTGATGAGATTATTGTAAAGGCTAATACAGATCTTGACAATAAAAAAAAACTTTCATTGTTTACCGTACTTCCGCCGTACGTGTTGCGTATTTCTTTTGTTCGGATGCATGTAATCATGATGTACATTTATTGTGTGTGTAATTCAAACACGTTGCTGGTTTTAGGATCACGTGTCGCTCTTCTGCTGTGCCCGATCTACAGCGGGAGCGTTTCAACCAGGTAAAATCGGCTGCGCTGACATTGAGTGACGGCGAGTCAGCTGCTCAGTGCTGCATAAAAAATTAGGGTGATACGTCACATTTTCCCCACTTTTCTAATTGTTATGCTATTTGAATAAATGAACCACTGAAAAAAAATTGCAGATTAGCGTTGGGGGGGAGGGGGGAATGTTTTTCACCTTTGCCCAGGAATGAACTCTTCATTGGTTAGCCAGCACTCATGTCTCCGGCACTTGACATGCTGGTAATAAAATAAAAAGACGCAATTACTAAATATCCTAATTTCGGTGCTGCAGTGTAAGAAAATTATTCTTTTTGTTTCTTTCATATTTTCAGTCTTAGTATAATACGTACTAGTCTGTAGACGCAAGATGGCAGGAAATAAACAAAGATGTCAGGAAATAAACGAAGAAGAGCCATCATTGCTTCAGTAACTCAGTCAAATGATTGCTCTTAAGAATACAAGACAATGGGTGAATTGAAAATCTACCAAAATACTGACAAAAATGAGCTATTATTAACATGGATTATACAAGGCAGTACCAATTTTATTATTTTTTAAAAATCTGAAGTGTCATGTTATGAAACCAAAAAACACAGAAGTTGTGAGGAAGACAAGCTTAAAGAGGTGAAACATTTGTGAACACGGGTTGTCGCTAAAGCCATCGTCTCAACATGCAGACTTCTTCAAGGCTGCAACTGCCGACCTATCTGAATTGTGTAGGGCATATTTATCAAGATGAAGGGAATGTGGGATACAGTGGTACTAACAATCAGCAAATGACCACAAAACATTTCACATATGTTGTACCAACAAGGCCAAAATTCATTCCTTGCCTACCTTAGTGCATTTTGTATATTCTTCATACCCTCTCCTCCAATCTAAACAAAGCAGGGAAGGCCACATACGAAAACGGGGAGATGAAAACGAGAAGTCGGCATGCTGAGTTGGGTGAGTTAAAAGGCAATCCCCCGTAATGGGTTGCACCAGGATAAAAGGGGCAATCAATCAAAAGCCCTTGAAACAGAAAGAAATGAGGGGCAGGAGGGAGCAAGTGTTTTGCATGGATGGGTAGAAAAGGAGAAGACATTTTGCTGAATTATCTTTGCCTCGAGGAAGCACCACCTGACAATGGGGATAATTAGCCTTAAAATTTCTTGAAGAATGGCTTACTTTTTATAGGTTTTCGTTGTGTATGTGCCATGTCAAATTGGTTCAAGTGCACCCTTCGAAACATTTATACTTGTTGGCTGGAATGTATTAAACTTGTGAATAAGGTGTGGCAATTTTTTTTTTCGAAAAGCTGGTTACTGTATTTAAGATTTAGGATTGTTGAAGATATGTCCTGCCACTACGAATTGCTGCACCATTGCTTCCAGTCATTTGCCATGCTTTCTTGATGCCTATTTATTGAAACATTAACAGGTTGTCCTGTTTGTTCAGTAGAGTTGAGAGCTAGACTAGTTGGTGAAATATCATTTTAACATGTGGCCTAGTAGAGCAACTTCGACGGGGACACAGAGGACAAGAAAAGCGAGTGTCGTGTTTTCTTGTACTCTGTTACCCTGTCGAAGTTGTGCTACTACACCATGTTAAATGTTGTCCTGTTTGTGACAATATGTATATTTAATCATGTGGATAATGTTTGAACTAGTGCAGGTAAAACTAGATTTCATACTATGCATAAATCACCTTTAGTGCTTTTAATTCTAACATAATCTTGAAGGTGTTTGCAGGTCCTAAATCTTAGACGACAACTAGGTATTATGTGTACCAAAAAGAATGCGGGTTTACTTTTGCATGCACTAACATGTCGAGGAACATTTTCCGAAGCGGCTCGTTGCTAGTTAATGTTGCGTATTACTTGCGAAAGATATTATTTCAATTTGGAAATGCATTTCGGTATTTGATTGCAAAGGCTACTGGCTGGTTAGGCTGTGCTATGGGACATGTTCAGCTAGTGATGATTTCCTCATTTTCAAGCTTTTGGATTTTTTTCAGTGTTGTGCAGGTCATTTCGCCAAATGTCTTCTTTGGCCTGCTTGACTGGTGAGCATAGTGATCGTTGTCTCTACAGACGCTTCTTAAATTCTTTGCCTGTCAAATGAATACTTCTTCTTTGCCGTGTCATAGATGATGGCTTGTGTAGTCTATGTATTATAGTTGGCTATTCGTTTGCATTATGTAGAGCATAACCTTTGATTTCTCAGCGAAAGAAAGAACTCCAAGACAGCCCCATTAAGATGCACATCTCAAGAATTCACCACTGAAGATTAAATTGGGCCAAGCATGTTAGCAGCAAGAACAACACTGTAAACCAAACAAAGATCTTTTTTTTTTCTTCTTTTTGCCCGGTTCGACTAGGTGTGGAGTCTGCTTTTCCTGCACATATTTCCTCCTCAAAATTTCACTTGGCTCTGCCCTGTTCATTTTTCTTTTCTGATTGGCATTGCCTGCTATATGTTTATGGTGTGGGTAAAGGATTTGTATTTTTTTCATACCCTGCATTAAAGAATGTTTCAATAGATGCCGTCATATCTAGGAAGTTAATTTTGCTGAAAGGGTGGTGCATGGTAAATTTACTGCTATGGTGAAACTTCTTACAATTGCCAATTAATGCAATTGTCATGAATGCATGTCAGAAAGGAGGCTAGCAACAGAGATATTGAATCTATTCTTCAAAATCATTCTACTTTCACTATTATCAGTGTTACCTCAAGACAACTTATCCACTGAAAGATAAAAAAACAACATTTAAACCAAGAAAAAAGTATGTGTTAGTCTCTATTTATGATAGAGTTGTAAAGAACAAGTGGAATAAATGTCATGTTTTGCCACTATTGAACCCACGTGGTTGAAACTGTGGAAGGAAACTGTGGAGGGATTTATAGGCCTCTGCTGCTGTAGTCTCGAGCAGTTTGATTCCCTTCACTGCAGCAATGCGACATGGGTGAAATCACATTGTACGATCTCCGTACTCCCAACACCACTTTGCTGTGCAGCTTCGCACTTGATTCACAAGCTTCTTGTGTGTATTTTACAAAAGCATTTCAGGGATACTGAACAGAAACAGTGACCTTGTTTAGATTGACAAACTGCACTCTGAGTACTCTAATGCCAATGCCATATGTTTCACTATCCCAAGTTTATTATTAGTGGAGAAAATTAAGGCTGAAGTTTCACTATTGAAAGTTGTGCCGAAATGTCCATGTGTGGCGTCAAATGTTTTAAAATGTATTATTCACAATTTTGCGATTGGCTCGGTCATATTTTCTGAAACTTCATATGCTAGGCCTATGACACCCACAGATGACAATGTCCTTTATTTTTATCGATTATAAGCTATGTAGAACTCAGTAAATGCCATCAAAATTAATGATGTCATGATGTTTGATGAGACAGTTTATTTGCACGGTTTCGCACTTGCCAAGCGTCGTGTCGTGGTAAGAGTGGTGATGTGAAATCATACTTCAATAGTATGCGAAAAATTATTTCGCTCTTTAGTGTCCTTTCAACACCCAAAAAAAATTAATACAAACGATGTAGAGTAGCTGACCAGCTCATTCACCTGGCCGAAAGAGAACTGAAAGTCAGTGTAGTTGTATTGTTAGGTGTATCACATCTCAATACATATAATCCTAGGAGGATGAAGGATAAGAAGCGTGACACAGAGGACAATTTATTGCAACAGACACACATTACATGCACATTTAAACGAGCCCGTTTACTGCTTTTCTCAAACAAGCAAAAAAAAAATGCAGTCTCACAAGTCTGCAGCACTGTGGTATATTGTGAGGCAACGTTCATATGCCCGAGCAGAGCACTATGAAGATGTCTTTAAACAATTTAACTGTTGTGCGCTCCGTTAAAAAAGGTTTGCAGTTACAATAACTGGGTCATTAGCCACTCATTGCAACAAAAGAAATGACATGTCTAGTTTTTGTGGCGGTACTCTTTTACCATTATTTACTAACTGAATTGGAACAACCAAAACAACCACTAAACAAAGCACATCGCCTTTTGAAGGCATCTATTGGCAAACAAAAGAATTAATTATGGCCGTTGGATAGGCGCTAATAAAAACAGAAGCAGGCACGCTTTCTTCAGCT